TCTCTCTCTCTCTCTCTCTCTCTCTCTCTCTCTCTGTTTCTATCTATTTCTCGCATGTCGACCCGATCTCATCAAGCATGAACATCGTATCTCAGGTTTATATATGACATTACGCATTAGCGAGGGCTGTAAAACAATTACATGTTGTTTTTCCTGGAAAGCGCTCTAGTTTTGAAAGTGGAATGTCATTTCACGCTAAACGGACCCAGTCGTGTCAAAAAGACTTAAAGAGAAACTCACATCAGTCACAATATTTCACAGGAAACACAGACGGCGACTTTGCCATTGACCCGGTCTCAGGAATTGTCAGACAGGTCAAACTTCTCGACCGAGAGCGGACGGACTCTTACACATTGATCTTGAAGGCCACTGACCAGAACAATGTGTCCTCAACAGCCACACTGACCATCGCAATAACGGACATCAATGACAACGATCCCGCCTTCTCCCAGCCAGTCTATGAGTTCAACGTGGATCACAACACGGGGATGGGGGTAAGTATTGGAAATCTCAGCGTAGTTGACGCAGACGACGCTGTAAACGCCGAGACTGATGTGGTCATTGACGATGCGGGAGTCACTGGTATCTTCTCTCTGAGCGGTCTTCAAGTCGAGACAGCCACGATCATGGACTATGAAGTGGTGAGAAGGTACAGTTTTCAGGTCAAGGTCACAGACAAAGGTGCCACCAGCAGGTCCGGCACAGCTAGAGTGGTTGTGAACGTTCTCCCAGCCACGGAAGAGCCAAAGTTTGACCCTGTCCTGGACACAATCACCATAGACGAAGGGACGTTGGCTGGCTATCAGGTGTATGACCTGGACGCAACTCTCCTCGGTGCCTCAGAGACTGACGGAACGATGAAGTACTCTATAATGTCGGAAACCCCAGCTGGGGGGTTCACTGTGCGTTCGGACACTGGTCAAGTGGTCAGTCTGGTTACTATGGACTACGAGACCAGTGCAAAGTATGATCTCACTCTTCAAGCGTGTATTGTCCTTGACTGCAGTATCAAAAAAGTCGATTTTACTCTAACCATTGCCGTGATAGATATAAATGATAATACACCTTATTTTAATGACGGTTCCTACTCAATTCAAGTCGAAGAAATTGTTAATGTCAGTACGGTGTTAGATACGATCATCACAGCCACTGATGAAGACAACTCCAGCCCTTTTAATGTCCTCACCTACACACTCACGGGAACGTCGACTGATTTTGAGCTAGTGGACTCGACTTCTGGAGCAATCAAAGTAGCAAACAGCCTAAACTTCCAGAGTCAGAGCGAGTACAGCTATCTCCTGAGCGTCTCCGACGGGGGAACCCCGGCCAAGTCGGCGCAAGTCTCCGTCGTCATACAGGTGCAGGACTCCAACACCAACGACCCGATATTCACCACGGGCAGCAC